AGCCACTCCTCGGAAGGAAGGTTGGGCAATCCTACTTCCGTAGTGATACTGCCTCGGAAACCCAAGGAGGGGTCGCTATGAGTCGGGTTTGACTCGACAGCACATAACAACAACAACAACAATCTAGACATAAATGTAAGAATCATTTTCCATTGCTCTTTATTATCTAATTGATTCCTAGATTACTTATCCATCTCCCAAGTATTTCTACAATCTGTCTTCCCTACTACTTGCTATAGTCTTAGTTTAGACTCTCATCATTTCCCCTATTGTCTGAATAGTTCTTCTATCCTCCTTACCTCTGTTTTCCATCTACTTCAATCCTTCTTTCATACGGCTGTCAGAGTGATGTAACTCTGCTTTATCCATATAACATAAACATTAATAAATATGTATAAAGATGTATGTCCAACCCCTTTAGAAATATTTTCAAAACATCGTTTTGCTCATAAAACTAGCAAAAATTAAGGAAAAAAAAATACATCAGCATTTTCCTTAAGCCAACGCTAGAGGCATTTGTTTTGTTTCTATATTTATTTGGGGAGACTCCTTAGGTTTCAGAGTTGAGTTGGCTGTAATCTTTCTGGAATCCACTTGCCAGGCCTGGTTCTTCTGCAGTGCTGCTGAGTGGGTTCAAACAGGAAACCTTTGAGTTACTAGCCCAGTGCAGACTACCTGTGCCACCCAGGGACCTTTAAGCCAAAGCTAAATTATTCACTGTAATGGGAACATACTCACAACTGCTAGCAGCTAGTTTTAGTTTAAAAGGCACAACCCTTTTGGAAAGCTATTTGGAAATATGCATCAACAACATTTTGTTGTTGTTGTTATGTGCCTTCGAGTTGGCCCCGACTCATAGAGACCCCTCCTTGGGCTGCCAAGGCAGTATCACTATGGAAGTAGATAGCCCAACCTTCCTTCCGAGGAGTGCCTGGTGGGTTTGAACCGCCAGCCTTCTGGTTAGCAGTCAAGTGCCTTAGGCACTATGCTACCAGATCTCCTCAACAACATTTAGAGTATCTATAACTTCAACCAGAAGTTTCACTTCTGGCAACTATTCCTAAGAAAACAATTATAACTCTGAATAGAAAAAAGAGCTCTTAAGTTTTTTGTTTTAAAATGCTTAGCCATTAAATTGAAGTTAAAA